CCGCCACTCGCGCAGTGCTGCACTCCCCTGTGCGGGTCGTGTGTGGCGGTTCTCCCCCACTTCCACCCAAAATTAGGTGCACGCGCCTGGGCTGGGCACGGCGCCGCCGAGGCGCTTGACCGCTCGCTCTGCGCGCGCGTCGCAACAAACAAGTCCCGAGAAAGGAGCCGCCCTCCATCCGTACACGCAATCCGTAGACAGTGTCACACCTCTGCTCACCAGCCCAGAGGAGGTCTCGAGTGAAAACCCCGTTCTAGAAAAGGGACTGCCATGCGGCTTTGCAGCTGTTACGTACATGTTCCGAGCTTCTGGTAATTAAGCTTGACGAAGTTACGCTTCCGCCACAGCGCCGGCTCCTTGGAGGACTGGCGGTTGTTGCATGTTGCCCGTGAGGGCCTCTTGGTTGCCTTTTGGGGGTTTCTCATAGCTCTTTTGGATATTCACGGGGCCTTCGGGGGACTTTTGTTTGGGGCCTCTTGGGCTGTTGTTCTCAATGTTCGCCGTGCACGCATGGGGAAACGAGCGTGAACCCGCGTGTACAGACGGCGGGCATCCGTCAAAACACTTGAAGAATGATTATCAGATGGCCTTCGGCACATCCCGCCACCGTGCCTGGGCTGCGGGTCTGAAGCCGCTCGGATGGCTGATGGGCTTTCGTGGGAGGCTTTTAGGGGGCGTCTTGGAGGCAGTTTTCGAACCTCATGGGGGCTTCCTGGGGGCCTTTGGGGGCTTTATGCGGCCTTTGGGGGCTTCGTGTGGACCTGTTATGGGATGTTCGGGGCTTTTCGGGGGCAGCCGGGAGGCGTCTTGGCGTCGAAGGCTTGAACTGTTCGTTCGGGTTCCCCCTTTGGGCCACTTCTTGGGGTTGTCCTGAGGCCCTCCTGGGCGGTCTTGGGGGCTGTGGGTCGTCTTAGGGCCCTCTGTCCCCCGGGGACCCCCCTCTTTCCATTTTCCAAACTCGACCGGACCAGGGGAGGGGGAATCATTCTTTACGCTTCGCGTATCCCCACCAGCCCATCTCACAGCAACAACTCTTGCGAAACATGCCGGCAGTCGTGTTTTTCAGGCGTGCGTCCGCGTGGGCCCGCATATCTCCCCTGTTCCTCCTTCCTCCCGCCTCCTTGTACATCCTCCTTGTGGGGGGAGCGGGAGGAGGACGAGGCGGAGGAGGAGGAGGGAGGAGAAAACGCTCATCGTGATTGAGTCGTTTGGGGTTTTCGGTCCTAGGTTGGAGTCGTTCGGGCGCCATTCTCCCCCCCTTGGGTTGTGAGCGTTCGGGCTCTTCGTGGTGTGAGTCGTTCGGGCTCTTCGTCCTGGATGTGAGTCGTTCGGGTCTCGTGGTGTGCGTCTTGATTCGGCGCCCCTCATCTCTGGGTTTTTGAGTCGTTCGTGCCCCTCCTCTTGGTTGTGGACTCGTTTCGGCAGCGTCTCGGTGTGAGTCGTAGGGCCCTCCTTTTTCCCTGGTGTGGACTCTTCGGGCTCCTCGTGGTGTGAGTCGTTCGGGGCCGGCGTCGTGGTGTGGAAGTCGTTCGGGTCCTCGTGAGTGTGAGTCGTTCGGGCGCCTCGTCCTGGTGTGAGTCGTTCGGGCCCCTCCTCTTGGTGTGAGTCGTTCGGGCTCTTCGTGGTGTGAGTCGTTCGGGCCCCTCGTCCTGGTGTGAGTCGTTCGGGCTCCTCGTGGGGCCTTAGGGGGCCTCTAGGGAACCTCTTGGTCCTTCTTGGGGGCCTCTTGGGGGCGTATTGGGGGCCTCTTGGGGGCCTCTTGGGCTCTTGGGGCCTCTGGGGGCCTCTTGGGGCCTCTCGAGCCTTTGGGGCCTCTTGGGGGCCTCTTGGGGGCCTCGTGGAGGCCTCTTGGGAGCCTCCTGGGGGCCTCTTGGGGCCATCTTGGGGCCTCTTGCGACCTCCTCAGAAGCGCAAATGAGCGCTACCCCCTGAGAAGGACAAAATGAGCCGAAAACCTTCGTAAAATCAATAATTTCGAGAACAAGGAACAGCAGCGCTGGCCCCTCAGACGGCCAAAATGGGCCCAAAACCGTAGCAACATCAATGATTTTGGCTTCACAGAAGAGGAGAGGGTTTTTTCTGGCCCCCCCCGACGGGGCCAGAATCCTCGTGAGGGTCGTCGTTTTTTGGCCCTCCCAGGAGTCGAAGAAGACCCCTCCAACCACCCGCGGGACGCCCTCTCCAGGCCCAGGGGGAGGGGGTAGGGGTAGGGGTAAACCCCTCCCCGAAGGGGAAGAAGGGGGGTTGGGGGGTTGAGGACAGAGAGAGCTCTCTAAACCACTCACGCCCAAAGGGCTGGTGGGATTTCACACGGTGATGAAACCCACGGGGTCGGCGGAGGAAAGCAGCCGTCTTCACCCTTGTAATCACTATTGAAAACGGCTGCGGCGAATCACCGCCGCCCCCTGCCTTTGTGGGAACGGCGACGCGTCCGAAAATTACGACTAGAGCTTGGCTTAGCTATCGGAGCATGTGTTCCCCGAGTTGGTTTGGAAAGCTTTCGGGGAACACGTGGGTGATAATGACCGCAGTCAGGATTTCGACCTGGTCTCATTCACAGTTCTTGGGCCTGTTTGGACAGTCCTTGGGGTCGCCTAGCGCCAGGAACTGTCATAGCATTGACAGTTGCGTTGCTTTGGAGGTAGCAAAAAATAATAGTATTGTCGGACAGTTGATGTTCAAAGCGATGTCGTGTCAGGCTTTATGTGCAAGCGTTGTTTTGTTCAACGCTGTTTCATGAGCGCCTCTGGTCAGACGTTTCCGCACATTTATCGGGCGAGCCATCAAACCAGGTGTTCTCCGAACCGCCGTTGAAATCTGTTGAGGGACACGTGGGCCTGGCTACTGGACAATGTGTTCCCCGAGTTGGTCTGGAAAGCCTTCGGGGAACACGTTGGCCAGAGTGAACGCAATGAGGAAGATTTCTTTGGTGGACTCGGAGGCATTTTGGATCCTCTTTGTGCGACCGACCTTCCTGGGCCGTCTTGGAGGCCATTTTGGACGATATTGAGCGAACTTGGGCGCCCTCTTGGGGCCGTCTTGGAGGGAGTCTTGATCTGTCATGAAATCATCGTGAAAGCCTTAGGAGCTATCTTGGCGCGATTTTGGGGCCCTCTTGGGCCGTCTTGGGCCGTCGGGAGCCCGAACATAAGCAAATGCCACAATCCGTCAATAGCCCAAGGCAAACCACTGATTTTGGCATCTTCGGGTCCTCCTGGAGGCCGCTTGGGCCGTCTTGGACGCTTCTTAGGTGCTTCTTGGCCCATCTTGGGCCGTCATGGAGGCTTCTTGGGTGGGCTTGCATCTTGGATTCTTGTGGGCCTTCGTGGAGGCTATCTTGGACTCTCTTGGGCCGTCTTGGAGGCCATCTTGGGCCATCTTGAGCGAACTTGCAGGCCTCTTGGGGCCGTCTTGGAGGCTTTCTGCGCCGTAGTGAGGTCAAGGGGGGGTGGCCCAGGGGAGCTGGGGCTCAGGCTCAGGGGAGGGGCCGAGGGGGAGGAACCACGACGAACCACGAACCACGACGAACATAAGGACGTCCACGGTCCAGGGGGGCTATCCTGGGAAGCCTGGACGGAGCAAGCCTCCGAAGGGTGGGTGGCCCAGGGGAGCTGGGGCTCAGACTCAGGGGACGGGCCGAGGGGGACGAACCACCACGAACCACGACGAACATAAGAACATAAGGATGTCCGAGCTCTAGAGCACAGCTGTGCAAGAGAATTGAATGATTCTGCCTTCTTGGGGCCTGCTTGGGGTGTCTCTTTGTGGGCGTCTTGGATGCCTCTTGGGCCACCCGGGTGCCATCTTGGGCATCTTGGGCCGATCTTCGGCGACTCGCGGCCCTCTTGGGCCGTCTTCGGGGCCCCTCTTGGCCCGTCTCGGGGCTTTCTTGAGCCCGCAGAATTTTCGCGGTACCAGTTGGCACAGCCTAGGGGGGCACGCGGGAAGCCCCAGAGGATTTCGGAAATTTGGGTTCAGGTCTCTTAAAGACTCCCTAGGACTGAGGGCTGAGGACTGAGGCACCAGGGATTGGGCAAACGACCTGAGGACAAACCCACCCCGTGCCCAGCGGCACGGTACCGCCCTCCATCATTGTATTTGCTGCGAGCTTTCAAGACGAATGTGCGCGGTGCTGCCGCGAGAGCCCATCGTGATAAAGGAGCAGTCATCCATATTGGTAAGAGCTGGAGGTTTCAAGCTGCACACTCATAACTCGTGATGGGGTAGGTCTCAGGCGAAACGCCAGCTCCGCCCTACCGACGCGATTGGTAGTGCGACAGGGAGGGCTCATCGACAAGGAAAAGGGATGGAGGAGGTGGTTCGGCAGGAGGAGGGGGAGGCAGAGAGGAGGTTCGGGAGGAGGAGGAGGTTCGGGAGGACGAGGGGGAGGAGGAGGAGGAGGAGGAGGAGGATACTGAGAAGGAGGATGATAAATACTTTCAGGAGGAGGAGGAGGAGGAGGAGGAGGAGGAGGAGGAGCAACAACGAAGCAACAACGAGGAGGAGGATGAGGAGAAGGAGGAGGAGGACGATGGGGGGAGGTTGGAGAAGCAGCAGGCGGTTGGGGTGAGCGCGCCTCGCGTTGCTGCTTACCTCCGTGTCTTTCTCGCTACCTCCCTCGCTGCCTTCTTCTTCCGTCCTCAATCTAAGGGCCGCGAGGAGGGAGGGAACATGCGGACACGGAGGAGCAGGAGAGACAAGGGCAGAAGGAGGAAGACGAGGGGCAGGTGGAGCAGAATGAGGGTGATGAGGAGGGTGATGATGACGATGATGACGATGCCGCTGCTGCTGGTGATGATCATCAGGTGATGTGATGTGATTGGTGGTGATGCCAATGGGGAGGGGGGAGAAGAGGCTGCACTGTCCACGGTGACGTATTTTTTCACATGGTATCCCCCTTCCTCTTGTTCCTGTTCCTCTGCCGAAGGCTCGCCTGCAGGCTGGCTTCAGTTTGTGGGCACTGGTCGTAGCACTTCTAGGTCTAATGGCACATCCCGTGAATGTTCTTCTCGACCAAGGCAAGAGAGCAGAAGGCCCCTCAGGGCTTCGAGGCCATCAAGGTTGAGCGACTCAAATCTGCC